TATCATGTATTGAATATTTTCTAATGGCATGTACTTGTTTCATGCAAATGTGTAATGATGCCTATCCACTCGTTTATATTACCATACTACGATCACATATCAAAAATTTATTAAACCGTGTAGAGAATTTATGCATGGATCCAAATATGTCTAAGGCGCAAAATATTGAAGAGTTAAAAAATTGTATTAAAGATCATCAAAACTTAATAGAGTAACTATAGATGGTTTAGTGCATTACAAACGAAATATGTATTTTAAAATATATTTTCTACAGGTTCTTTAATCGCATATCACCGCTCATATCCGTAACAGTTTTCATACAATTCATAACATCTGCTTCTGCAATGGCCATGACACTGATTAACCTTATGATATTTGCGATTGACTTCTCCGCACGTATAGCTTCAATCTTTTACTTCATAGCCATTTTGACGGAGACATTTCCATTGTGTTACTTTGCTCAGATGCTTATGGATGATAATAATAAATTGGCTGATACTATATTCCATTCCAACTGGATGGGACAAGACGTTGCCTATACCAAAATGTTATTATTTTTTTTGCAACGTTCGCAGGCTATGATGGAGTTGACAGCTGGAAAATTAGTACCAATTACACTAAACAGTTTTTTGGGAGTAAGCTCATAACTATGTTATTAATATGGAATTTTTTAAATCTGCTGTATCTTTTGTAGAGTGCAAAGTTCTCATTCTCACTATACACTTTTGTGAAGCAAATGGATACTAAGGGAAAGTTTGGTGTACACTAATTCAAGCATATTGCACATCAAAGTTATATATAAAAATATATTAATTTTTTATATAAATAATAAATTGTTAAATTTATAGATGTAGTAAATATCTACATGCCTTAGCATTTATAGTAGAAGCACAGAGAATTTTGATTAAATATTAATTGTATCTAAACTTATTCCAGGTAATATTCACTGATTTCAATAAATTAATTTCATTCAGTTATATATTTGACTGTTTACTTAACCTAATTTGATAGAGACTTTATTTTACTTTAATAAATTTAGTTCACAATTTGTCTTAATCCCAAAAATCTCTAAGGTAATTAAAAATGTTTTATGAGATTTTTGTGTGAGGAAATGATGAATTTGATCGAAACAAGAAGGGTTTTTTTACACACTTTTGTGAAAAATATCACTACTATTTACTTAATCATATTATTACTACATTGTTTACAACATTAGTAATGATTATCATTAACAATGTTGAGTTGTCTAAAGAATCGTGAGGTGCTGTGGGTGCCACTTTAAAGTTGACATTAACCACTCCTTGTTGTTAATGTAAACTTACCAACACCGCGTTATTAAATCTCAGAATGGTTACAGACTCCTCGGTGAGATATGCAGATCTGAGATCAATTATTGCTTAGTCTGATAAAGTGATAAACAATAATCGAGTCAAGGCGTAAGAGGGGTTTTGAAGATATCTCGCAGTTAATAGAGAGTTAAAGTGCTCAAATGCACTGACTCAAATAGCTTCAACATAATATCTGTATTACAATTTCTGTTTTTTAAATATTTTCTAAAATATATAATGTGATATGAAAAATATAATAATGTGATATAATTAAAAATATTTAACACAAATTAATAAGTGGAATTTTTTAGCATTTTTAAGTGTTAAATAAACGACCTAAGCCTGTTGAAAATGAAAAAACTTAGGATAAATTGGCCGTATCAATAAATAATTATTCAAAAAGAAAGATTTTTGTAAAAAATATAATAATAGCGAACTTTGACATCCAGTCTTTTTATATAGGTATATTTCAAAAATACTTTTTACAAAAAAGATTTCAGTTAATTGTTTTACAAAGTCATTTTGAGCGAAACTCCTTGGGCTCTAATTTGAGCCATAGTAATCTTACTTTATTTTTTAATCTTTTCAGATTTTCTATGCTTTAAAGAATAATTATGTACAAATTTTGTATGCAGAATCTAATGTGAAATGCTGCACACAACTAATACTGCCTTTGTATACTTGTTATCTGAGAGATATGCATCTCTTTAATAAAAACATAAATTTTGTGCGGGTAGATGTAACGGCAAAAAGCATTAAACATTGCATAGTGCATATTAGCATAAGTAAAAGTCGCCACCAAATGGTTTCATTGTCTTACTTCAAGCCATTTTGACCCTTTTGGTGTGCACTCACTCGGCAGACAATGCAACTGAACTTGCACACACAAAAGATTTATTAGAATTAATAAAACGTAAAGGGAAATGAGCTCAGCAGAACCACAGACTAATAAAAATTTACCAGCAATTTCGAGTTACAACTAAAACTTAACTTAAATATTCACATAAAAACATACACATAAAGTCATACACAAAAGCGGATAAGATACGAGAAAACAAGTATCTTTAATAAGCAATGTACATAGGAAAAACTATTCCAATGTTGGTTCAAACTGAAAGTGGCTGAGTGCCAAGAGCCAGCACCCAAGCGGACAACAATTTCACAATCCTCAACTCTCGACTAGAAAATATGAAACATAAAACCTAACAAAGAACTAATACCGCATAAAACTTCGGCGGTTGCAGTTGCAATGTTCGCTTTTGGGTGAACTGAAAAATGACGTTTACGATAAAAAAATGGTTGAGATAATAATTATACGTTCCAGCACTGGTGAAAATATAGAATACACAATATATACACTATAGAGCAACACTCCCCAACTTTGCTTGAAATTTTCAAAAATTTTGTCATAAACAGAAACTTAATTTAAAATGCCATTAGCGCAATGTCAGCATAATTTATGCCCCTAACACCGACACCGTTCCGACTAAAAACTTTTAATAAAAATTATGCAAAAACTAGATTTAACTAAAACCAACACAAATATTTTCAGAAGAAAAAATTTAAATTCAAAAAAGCTGCTTTGATTAAAAATTATATGGTACGGCGCCTTTGATTTCAGCTAAGTGAAGTAAACTCCGAGTTGAAGTGCACTAGTCAGAGAAAAATTTTTAAGTTCAATTAAAGTTCGCTTTCCACGGGATTTTTACTGCAATTTCGTACACAAAATTCCATTATTCAAGTCAACAAAATGTTTTTAAAACATAAATTTTAATAAAAGTTCTAAGTATGGAAGTTAATAGCTTCAAATGCTAATGTTTTCCACGGTTTTACAATTTCTCAAATGCTCGCAACAAGTGCACACTTGACTCAGCCAGTTTAGATACTCTTTGAAGAGTCTAAGTCGCTGCGCTTGCATGGACGATTTTTCGGAAATCTGACGTAAGCAGCAGCGATTATTTTATGATTGGACGAATTAACAGTGTTTTCCATTATGCAAAACTTAGCCAAACTCGTTTTTTTACGGCACTTCAACTGGACAATTGAACAATTTGTTGCACACTGCAGAGATATTCAACTACCACTGGAGGCAAATCCAAAATTGTCAATTGTCACATGACAATTTCTGTGGCTCAAAATTTACAATTTTTTATTTATTTTTTAAAGGGCTTACGGCACTATTTGGTTTGACTGTCCTCCACATATGTATCCCCAAATAATAATAGCAGATAGATTTGTAAAAAATTTTTAAACTAAATTTTTAAAATTGAAATGAAAAGCTTCTTAATAGACAGATTTTGCTTAAAATTTATTTTGAATTGTTATTATATTATTGCATAAATTATTTTCAAATTTACTAATTGATAAAATTTAATCGTTAGTTGATTAATTGCAACGGCTAGTCAACAAAAATTATTTCGCTTTTCATAAAGAGCGATTATTACCATTTAAATACCACATACTCTCTCAAAAAAATCCATAGACAACACCTAATCTATCATGTCGAGCTCATGTAACACAACTGATCATTTTTTGTTATCAACTCGACCTATTAAGCATCTGCACGAGACTGTTTATTTGACTCAAATAATTTTGAGACATAAGATCATCATAATCTTCCAGTGACCTAAAAGAATTGCAATAAACCTAACGATATTGAAGCAAAGATCGGCAAAGATGATGTATATATACTGGTAGACTTTCACCTTTTATAAGCTGCGGTCCTGCGGTGACCAGGAAAATGTAAATTGGTACACCTAGAGACGCATACATAGAAGTACTAATATGAAGTAAAATATCTACTTTTTTATTCTCTTCAATGCTTCTATGATAGGGAACCCAGATCATTAAAATCCCAGTGAGTAGCCCGCCGATTTTCAACTTGTAGTCTTTAATTACCGTTGATTAAATTGAAGGAATCATTGAAAAACTTTAATTGCTATTTTGCTGTCGATGAAATAAGATTACGGTCATTCACATCGCTGACTAATCGATAAGATTTCAGCGTGATCTGATGTTCTCCCATCAGACTTTTTCATGGTGAGTTGTGGGTTTGACTATCTGACTTCTTCAGTCTCAATTCTTTTTGATGTAGAAGCTTGTTAACAGCTGGCAATATTCTTTACTAGTTGTGAATTTATGAAGCGCCAATCCATCAAGCATGCCAGACCCATACCCCTTGACTTATTTTAATGTCAAATTTTTCGAGTACTTTTAGCAACTCTGAAATTTAAATTCGAGCCTTTCTGAAGAAAATTTACATCGAGAAAAATAATCAATCTATATATATGGTACACTTCATCGAAACTGAAACTACTAATTCTAAATAATTAGTTCCAGTAATATTAATACTAGAAAAGTATAGAAAGAATCTCTTGTCTAGAATGCAATTCTTATTACGAAAAGCAAGTCTATTCATAATTATGCAAAATTGGACCTATCCACTCATATATCCGTCTATATGTAATTTAAAGAGCAAGTTGCACACATATCTAGTTTTCGTTATCGCATATATTTATTTAATAAAAATAAAATAAATTTAAGCAAATAATGAAATAATAAATATTTTACATACTTCATCTGGAACATAAAACAAGAACTTTTAAGCAAAATTCAAATTTATTTCAATTCCTGCAAAGTACATTCATTTTAAAATTATGTTTCTAAATAGTAAATAGTAAAGTAAAACAGTAAAGTTGAATTCGTAATTAAAATATTAGCAATTTTGAAATTCCTTCTAATGCAAAAATTTTAGAAAATATTTTATCTGTACATGTATGTGAAGTGTACACTTCATAGAATATTAATGAACATAGAAAAACTTCACTTAATTCACTTCCAGTTCTCTGGCTGGTTGGCAGTGATTTAAATAACTAAAAATGTTTATTTTACTTAAAGAAGTTTCTGACCAAACATTTTCAAAATATTTAAAAATGGTTCAGATACATGTGCAAATTTAATGTATAAGAACGCATTTAATGCACTGACTGAATGAAATATAGCGATGCAATTTCTAAAGGTCCTGCAGAAAATGATAGCATGGTGTTTAAAAGAAATTCATAGTAACTAAAGTGCCAATAATTATATGGGTATATATACCAATATATATATAGGTATATATATATTTTGCATATAATTGAAGACCTCACCATAGTTAGAATGATCCAATTTAGGTCAAATATGCGCCATTTTATTCGATACATGTTGCTATTTTGACGATAATTTTATTATGCCTCTCTCATAGAAGTCGTCGCCGTTATTTTTCAGCAGAAAAATCGTTCGCCATAGACAGGAACCTATGTTAATCACTTGCTGCCAGGTCTAGAGTATAAGGTGGATTCATAAGAGCTTCCCAACCAAGTTTCTGGAGATTTTGGCGACTCAGTATCGATGTACGTGACCTAGCGTTTTCTTTATGGAACACAATTCTTCTCCTATTACCAAAAGC